CATCTCCTCCTCTTCGTCGTCCTCGTCGTCCTCCTCCTCCTCTTCCTCCTCATTGTAGTGGCCTCCGGCCAATGCCGCCGATCTGGGTGGGCCTAAAAGAACCCTTTGCAGACCACACCCCTCGGAGTTGGCGACAATCGTGCACCGTGGCACCCTTCGCGCCCTCTTCGAGCAGGAGATCGACTGCATGATGGATGTATCCCATATTTGGAACCTCGCCGGACCTGCAAGAAGCATCCCGCATGCTCGTGGTCGTAGATCTACGAACATCCTCTGTGTTTTTTGGTTGCAGGGTCGACGAAGTAAGCCCGTCCGTGGTGAAGCAGCTCTGCAGCCGATCCCCCAGAGGATGGGGCTGCTGGCCGAGCAGGGCGACGCGGCCGGCGCCGCCCGGGCGCTGCAGGAGCTCCAGGCGGCGAGGCTCCGCCCCGACGCGGTGAGCTACGCGACGCTCATGAAGGCCCACGCGCGCCGCGGCGACGCGGCCGCCGCGCGCCGCGCCCTCGGGGACCTGCGGCGCGCCCGCCTGCGCCCCGGCGTCGTGGCCTACGCGACGCTGATCGACGCCCACGCCAAGGGCCGCGACGCCGCCGGGGCCCGCGCGGTGCTGGCCGAGATGGCGGCGCAGGAGCTGCAGCCGGACGCGGTGGCCTTCGGGGCCGCGGTGGACGCCCACTGCAGGTCGGCAGCGCGCAGAGGGGGGTAGGGGGGGAGGGGGGAGGGCTTCTCAGAGAAGCACCCCCGCTTCTCAGACGGCGCGGGCCTTCTCTGCAGACGTGAGGCCGAGGCCTCCTAAGAAGCAGGGTGCTTCTAAGAAGCCTTCCCCCCTCCCCCTACCCCCCTTTGGCGCGCCGCCAAGCAGGGCCGGGGAGGCCGGCGGGGCCCGGCGCCTGCTGGAGGAGATGGGCCGGCGCGGGCTCCGGGTGGAGCGCTGGCTCGCCGCTGCGGCAGAGGCGGCAGCGGAGCAGGGCGGCAGCAGCAGCGGCGTCCATGGCCTCCTCCTCCTCCTCCTCCTCCTCCTCCTCCTCCTCCGCCACGCTCCACCTCCCTCCTCTCCTCCTCCTCCCTCCTCCTCCTCCTCCTCCTCCCCCTCCTCCTGCCCCTCCTCCCCCTCCTCCTCGCTCCTCCTCCTCCTCCTCCTCCTCCTCCTCCTCCTCCTCCTCCTCCTCTTTCCGCTGGGGCTTCCGCGCGCGAGCCGGCCTGGGGGTGGAGCGAGGAGGAGGAGGAGGAGGCCCTCTCAGGAGGCTCGGAAGGCCTCCATGCCCTCCGAGGAGTGTGCTGAGCCTGCCCCGTGGCAGCTTCTCAGAAGGCCCTCTCAGGAGGAGGAGGAGGAGGAGGAGGAGGAGGAGGAGGAGGAGGAGGAGGAGGAGGAGGAGGCCCTCTCAGGAGGCTCGGAAGGCCTCCATGCCCTCCGAGGAGTGTGCCGAGCCTTCCCCGGGGCAGCTTCTCAGAGGGCGCGAGGGTCGTCTGAGAAATCCCTCCGCCTTCTGAGAAGGCCTTCTCCTGCTCACTTCCCCCCTCCCGCTCGACGCTGGGCAGATCAGAGCAGCACCATCAATTTCATCAATCGTTGTTCCCTCATGCTCCATGCTGCCGCGTGCCTCATGCATTCATCATGGGGAAGGTGCGCATGGAAAGGGGGGCCAGTGTATGCCCTCACCCAGATCTCCCGCCCAAGGAGGTCGAGCCAACACCTCTTCCGAGGCACTCTGCGACCTGCAGCTAGGCAATATCGATCGCGAGCGTTGCATGATCAGCCAGGAGGGAAACATGTCCCTGTTTTCTTCTCCACTTCATTGGTCAGGACGAAGCTTGGGTGCGCGCTCGATCTGGCGCAATATGCGGAGTGCTCGTCGTCGTCATCTTCGTCGTCGTCGTTGTGTTGCCGTCATGGTCGTCGTCGTCAGCGTCGCCGATTAGGCTCGATCGATAGCTTAGATGGTCCTCTTTAGCCAAAGTTGCGTGGTGCCAGCGAGAACCCAAGCAGGACTGCTTGTCGGCTGGAACACAACACGGGTTCTTATTCTACTCCTCATGCTCTACTCCCACCGCCCCCGCCCCGTTGAAGTGTATAGTGAATGAATTCTGTCGGTGTGCTAAACGATACCGCTCGGCGGGCCCCCGCCTCGGAAACCATTCAATCTTGGCATCGCTCGGACGTGTGTATTCTTTTCGGCGAGGACCATCGAGTAGCGTTTTGGGCCATCTTGCGAGCAAGCACGCGCACGAAACCTGAAAATGCCAGAGGAAGGGACGTCCGAGCGATGGCGAGTAACCAAGTGATGAATGAGAGTGCCGCGGATCGCGCCGCGGGGATCGATAATTGCCACGCAGGGTTGCCTGGATCTGGCCTTGGGCCCACCTGGGCCCGGATCGATTTATTGTAATGTCTTCTGGTCAGTGCCGCCAATCTGGGGGATTCCGGATTCGGTCTCTGTGGCCTCCTCCCTCCTCGATTATTCTGGTCCTCTTTCTTCTCACTAGTTCTCGTTATCTTATGCCTCCCGCTGACCCCTTTGCGTCGCGTGCTCGCTCCCCTCTCCGTCCTCGCTCGTCCTCGTTCCCGCTGGGGGGGGGGGGCCTGGAGAGGTCCCGGGGGGAGTCCAGGGAGGGTTCCGAGGGGAGGGTCCTGGGGGCTGTAGCGGCGCCGCTAGATCTGAGGGGGGTCCCTGGGATCCCCCGAAACATCTTGTGGATGCGCAAACGCAAATCATGAAGAGAACGCAAGAAAAGGCCAGATGGGAGACCGCCCTCCTTTCCCGGATCCCCCGAAACATCTCGGGGATGCGCAAACCATTAAGAAAACGCCAGATGGGGCCCCCCCTTCCCCGGCAGAGCCACCCGGGCGACCCCCCCCAAGCAGAGCTGAAGCTATTGCGTAGGCTCAGAGCTGAAGCTCTTGCTGAGGCTCTCTGTAGTTCACGCGCCAGATCCGCAGATTTCTCCGACGCCCCCCGCGGGTCCGCATGCGGCGGCCCCCGGGCGCCGCAAGCGCCGAGCCATTTAGACCCCGAACGGCCTCAAGGCCAGCGCCGCCGACCCAGACGGACGACGACGACGACGACGATGACCACGACGACGACCACGGCGGCAACGACGACGACGAGCTGATGACCCTGCCACAAGCTCGAGACATGGGCCGGCCGATGTTGCACTCCATCCTCGGTGCTCGAGGCCGAGGCCGCTGGCGCGCCCCTCACCCGTCGGCTCTCGACAGGTCGGGTCCCTCCCTTCCCGCTCCACAGCGGCCGCTCTCTGGCTTCCCACGTGCACGTTTGCTGTTGTTCCTCCCCGGCGTACCGCTCGTTGCCCATGCCCCCTCCCCGGGAAAGGCTAAGGATCGTACTGGGCGGGGAAGCTTGGCCCCCCCTACATGCTAGGGGGCCGACTGTTCTCGCAGGCATGGCGTGGAGCTGAAAGGCATGCGTTGGTGCTGAACAACGTGTTGTGGCGCTCGCAGGCTCCCCGCCTGTTGCGCGCCGAGCTCACAGGCATGGCGTGGTGCTGAAAGGCATGTGTCAGTGCTGACACGCGTGTTGTGCGTGCTGAGGCGCTTGCAGGCTGTTGCGGTGCGCGCAGGTCAGGCGGACTCACTGCCAAGGTGCCCTGCTCGGCGGGCGGCGGGTCGGGGGACCGATGTCGGGCGGCTTTCGGTTAGGCGGGCGTTCAAGGTTGAACGCGTCTCAGGGGCCCGTTTCGTCCCCCCAGACCTGCAGAAACGAGCCCACGGCGCGAAATCGACATCGAAGATGGGGTCGAGGGCTTCCAGAGTCCTCCAGGAACAGAGATCGTTCAAGATTGAACGATCCACGCGGCGTCAGAAGGCAACGCCGACTACATCGCGGCACGAAGGCGCATGTGGGCCCCAAACAGTCATTCGTTTCACTTGACGCGCAGGGCCCGCGATGCAACCTGCGCGGTGCTACCAACGTTGGCACCACTGCAAGCACTGCGCGGGGAGTCAATGCGCCTGAATGCAAGCGTGGCTTTGGGAATTCCACGGTGCTGGAGCTTTCGACCCCATCGTGCGGCTCCTGCTGTTCCTCCTGTTGCTGCTCCTCTTGCTCCTCCTGCTGCTTCTCCCCCCGCTCCGCATTCCCCTCCCTCGACGAAGGCCGCGAGGACCTTCGAAAGAGGAGATGAAGAGGACAGGGAGGAGGAGGAGGAGAAGGAGGAGAAGGAGGAGGAGTTGCAGGAGGAGGAGGAGATGGAGGAGGAGGAGGAGGAGATGAATGGTGAGTCCTGAATGCCTCCGAGGTCTGTGGCGAGCCCCGCAAGGAGGCCTCGCAAGCTACGAAAGTGCTCGTTGGCACGTTTGGCGTTCTGGTGTGCACAGGCGTTGTGGTGCACGGAGGCATTGTGGCGTGCGCAGGCGCTGCGGTACACATGGCTTCTGTGGTATGCACAGGCGCTGTGGGCACGAGCGCTCTGGTGCACGCAGGCAACGAGGTGCACGCAGGCGCTGTTGCGAACACGGCTGCTGCAGTTAACACAGGCGCTGCGGTGTACATGTGTACATAGGCGACGTGGTGTTGCGGTACACGCGGCTGTTGTGGTGTACGGCACTGGGGTGTACACAGGCGGCGGTGTGTTGAACGCAGGCATTGGGCATTATCGTGTATGCAGGGACTGTGGCGCACACGGGCAACCGTTGCGCCGGTCGCGCGGATGCCCCCCGCAAAACGCTCGCCAGCCGTCCCGCGCGCTCCGCTGGTCTCGACCCACGCGCCTGCGTCCGCCAGCGCTGCCGATGACACGAGTTTGTCTCCTCGATGTGCGCTCGCTCCCCATCCGCCAGCGTCTTGGTGTTCGATGCTCTGGACCTCCAAAAAGGTCTGGACCCTTTCGCCCGGGGCCAGTTTTTCACCCCGAGCTGTTTTCCGAGGGCCCACGGGAAGCCAAAGCAGCGAACGCAAATCCGTTATGTTTTTCTTCGCGATGCGAGGGGGCCCGGGTCGCCAGTGATTTTTCGTTGTCCCGCCTCCCCGACACGAGCAGAGGATGGCCACGGCCACGGCGAGTCCCATTCCCACGGCGAGTCCCACGGCCACTCGCACGCTGGGGCGTCGGACTGCCAGGAGCCCCGGCAGAGGAGGTCGCGTCGTCGGCGTTGCCGTCATTGTTTCGGGGGCCTCCCAGGGTCCAGATCCCGTCGCGTCGTGAAACAATCACGACGGGAGTCTTTGCTTGTTCTCGGTTTCTTGCTTCTGGGGGCCCTCGCCAGGCCCCAGGACCGTCAAACCGATATCCAGGATAATTCGGAAATTCGTTCCAGCGGAAGGGTCAGGGCTTCTGGGGACCCCGTACCAAACAAAAACGGGAAGTGGGCGATGGCGTCAGCCGAATTATCTTCGGGGCTGTCCGAGATACAGTCAAGTCGCGCAGTAAGGATGAGCAACTTCCCAAGGCTACCGTTGCATCCTTGCCCCTCGGCCCATCTTTGGCGACTTCCGCTGGCCAGCCCCGTTCGAAAACGAGAACGTGGCCCTGCAAGGCCTTGACTCAAGATATTCCAACTTACTTTAGCCTTGATCACAAGAGTGAACTTTGAGCACCAAGGCAGTATCGAAACTAAAGGGTTGTCATGTGTCGGGCCCTGGGAGGCGATACTCGTTCGACATTTCGCCAGCGCGTCGGGCAGACATTGCTTCGATACTCTCCCGGGTGCTCGAAGTTATTCAATCGCTTCGCTCACTCCGCCGGCCCATGTTGCATGATCGCTACTGCTTCGCCGTGGGCCTGGGGCCATTGAGGCGCCGCCGAGGTGGAAGAAGGTGAGGATGGGGAAGGGGAGGGGAGGAGGAGGAGAGGATGAGAAGGAGAAGAGCATGATGAAGATAAATAGGAGGAGGAGGAGGAGGAGGAAGAGGAAGGGGCGGAGGAGGAAGCCTCTCGTTGGCATCTTGTTTTGTTCTTGGGGCCAAACAGGGTCGTCGTCAAGATGCTTCTTTGGGAGGCCTCTTGGGGTCTTTTGAGACACGGCCAGCGCCGCCGACCCAGATGGACGACGACGACGACGATGACCACGACGACGACCACGACGGCAACGACGACGACGAGCTGATGACCCTGCCACAAGCTCGAGACATGGGGCGGGCGGTGGAGGGAGGAGCAGGAAGACGGCATCATCCCATCACTGCTCCGCTCCTTGTTGCACTCCATCCTCGGTGCTCGAGGCCGAGGCCGCTGGCGCGCCCCTCACCCGTCGGCTCTCGACAGGTCGGGTCCCTCCCTTCCCGCTCCACAGCGGCCGCTCTCTGGCTTCCCACGTGCACGTTTGTTGTTGTTCCTCCCCGGCGTACCGCTCGGTGCCCATGCCCCCTCCCCGGGAAAGGCTAAGGATCGTACTGGGCGGGGAAGCTTGGCCCCCCCTACATGCTAGGGGGCCGACTGTTCTCGCAGGCATGGCGTGGAGCTGAAAGGCATGCGTTGGTGCTGAAAAACGTGTTGTGGCGCTCGCAGGCTCCCCGCCTGTTGCGCGCCGAGCTCACAGGCATGGCGTGGTGCTGAAAGGCATGTGTCAGTGCTGACACGCGTGTTGTGCGTGCTGAGGCGCTTGCAGGCTGTTGCGGTGCGCGTAGGTCAGGCAGACTCACTGCCAAGGTGCCCTGCTCGGCGGGCGGCGGGTCGGGGGACCGATGTCGGGCGGCTTTCGGTTAGGCGGGCGTTCAAGGTTGAACGCGTCTCAGGGGCCCGTTGTGTCCCCCCAGACCTGCAGAAACGAGCCCACGGCGCGAAATCGACATCGAAGATGGGGTCGAGGGCTTCCAGAGTCCTCCAGGAACAGAGATCGTTCAAGATTGAACGATCCACGCGGCATCAGAAGCCAACGCCGACTACATCGCGGCACGAAGGCGCATGTGTGCCCCAGACAGTCATTCGTTTCACTTGACGCGCAGGGCCCGCGATGCAACCTGCGCGGTGCTACCAACGTTGGCACCACTGCAAGCACTGCCCGGGGAGTCAATGCGCCTGAATGCAGCGTGGCTTTGGGAATTCCACGGTGCTGGAGCTTTCGACCCCATCGTGCGGCTCCTGCTGTTCCTCCTGTTGCTGCTCCTCTTGCTCCTCCTGCTGCTTCTCCCCCCGCTCCGCATTCCCCTCCCTCGACGAAGGCCGCGAGGACCTTCGAAAGAGGAGATGAAGAGGACAGGGAGGAGGAGGAGGAGAAGGAGGAGAAGGAGGAGGAGTTGCAGGAGGAGGAGGAGGAGATGGAGGAGGAGGAGGAGGAGGAGGAGGAGGAGGAGGAGGAGGAGAATGGTGAGTCCTGAATGCCTCCGAGGTCTGTGGCGAGCCCCGCAAGGAGGCCTCGCAAGCTACGAAAGTGCTCGTTGGCACGTTTGGCGTTCTGGTGTGCACAGGCGTTGTGGTGCACGGAGGCATTGTGGCGTGCGCAGGCGCTGCGGTACACATGGCTTCTGTGGTATGCACAGGCGCTGTGGGCACGAGCGCTCTGGTGCACGCAGGCAACGAGGTGCACGCAGGCGCTGTTGCGAACACGGCTGCTGCAGTTACCACAGGCGCTGCGGTGTACATAGGCGACGTGGCGCTGCGGTGCACGCGGCTGTTGTGGTGTGCGGCGGCACTGTGTGGTGTACACAGGCGGCGGTGTGCTGTGCGCAGGCATTGGGCAGTGTCGTGTACGTGCGCAGGGACTGTGGCGCACACGGGCAACTGTTGCGCCGGTCGCGCGGATGCACCCCGCAAAACGCTCGCCAGCCGTCCCGCGCGCTCCGCTGGTCTCGACCCACGCGCCTGCGTCCGCCAGCGCTGCCGATGGCACAAGTCTGTTTCCTCGATGTGCGCTCGCTCCCCATCCGCCAGCGTCTCGGTTTTCGATGCTTTGGACCTCCAGAGGTCTGGACCCTTTCGCCCGGGACCAGTTTTTCACCCCGAGTTGTTTTCCGAGGGCCCACGGGAGACCAAAGCAGCGAACGCAAATCCGTTGTGTGTTTTTCGCGATGCGAGGGGGCCTGGGTCGCCAGTGATTTCGTTGTCCCGCAGTCCCGCCACGAGCAGGACGGCCACGGCCACGGCGAGTCCCACTCCCACGGCGAGTCCCACGGCCACTCGCACGCTGGGGCGTCGGACTGCCAGGAGCCCCGGCAGAGGAGGTCGCGTCGTCGGCGTTGCCGTCATTGCTTCGGGGGCCTCCCCGGGCCCAGATCCCGTCGCGTCGTGAAACAATCACGAGGGGAGTCTTTGCTTGTGCTCGGTTTCTTGCCTCTGGGGGCCCTCGCCAGGCCCCAGGACCGTCAAACCGATATCCAGGATAATTCGGAAATTCGTTCCAGCGGAAGGGTCAGGGCTTCTGGGGACCCCGTACCAAACAAAAACGGGAAGTGGGCGATGGCGTCAGCCGAATTATCTTCGGGGCTGTCCGAGATACAGTCAAGTCGCGCAGTAAGGATGAGCAACTTCCCAAGGCTACCGTTGCATCCTTGCCCCTCGGCCCATCTTTGGCGACTTCCGCTGGCCAGCCCCGTTCGAAAACGAGAACGTGGCCCTGCAAGGCCTTGACTGAAGATATTCCAACTTACTTTAGCCTTGATCACAAGAGTGAACTTTGAGCACCAAGGCAGTATCGAAACTAAAGGGTTGTCATGTGTCGGGCCCTGGGAGGCGATACTCGTTCGACATTTCGCCAGCGCGTCGGGCAGACATTGCTTCGATACTCTTCCGGGTGCTCGAAGTTATTCAATCGCTTCGCTCACTCCGCCGGCCCATGTTGCATGATCGCTACTGCTTCGCCGAGGGCCTGGGGCCATTGAGGCGCCGCCGAGGTGGAAGAAGGTGAGGATGGGGAAGGGGAGGGGAGGAGGAGGAGAGGATGAGAAGGAGAGGAGGAGGATGAAGATAAGTAGGAGGAGGAGGAGGAAGAGGAAGGGGCGGAGGAGGAAGCCTCTCGTTGGCATCTTGTGTTGCTCTTGGGGCCAAACAGGGTCGTCGTCAAGATGCTTCTTTGGAAGGCCTCTTGGGGTCTTTTGAGAAGCCGTTCGGGGGCGCCTGGGAGGCATTTTTGAAGCCTTCTGGGGGGCCTCCTGGGGGTCTCCTGGGGCCTCTTGGAGGCCTCTTGGCGGCATCTTGGGGCCTCTTGGGCCCCTCTCGGGGCCTCCTGGGGCCCTCTTGGGGCGGAAGGCGCGAGGTTTCTGTTCGTGGTCCTCCTCTTGGGCCCTTCCTGTGGCCGTCTTGGGGCCGTCTTGGGCCGTCTTGGGCGCCTCTTGGGCCGTCTCGGGGCCCTCTTGGGCCCTCTTGGGGCCCTTTTGGCAGCCCTTGGCCCGTCTTGGGGCGCTATTGGGGGCCTCTTGGGCCGTCTTGGAGCATCGGATGGCCGAAAAGGGAACAAGGCCCAAATCCTCCCAAAACCATCGTACAAAATTATGTGAGGCCTCTTGGAGGCCACTTGGAGGCCTCTTGGGCCGTCTTGGGGTCATCATCTGCGTCTTGGAGCGCTCTTTGGACGTCTCGGGGGCCCTTTGGGCAGTCTTGGGGGCCTCTTGGGGCACTCTTGGCGCGCTCTGGGGGGCCTGAGAAGCCACACCTAGGAGGAAAACCATCTCTGGGTAGCATTGGTCGGGCTGCGGTCGGGGTACATTCTGCCGGGGGACCACCAGGGGCCGCCCCGCGCGCGAACTAGAATTATTGTTAACCAGTTACGGTAGGTTTGCGTCGTGTCGACCAGCGGCGACCCCAGCGCGGGCGTTCAAGGTTGAACGCCGCCGGCGACCCAGAATCGATCGATGTTGAACGATCGGACGTTGCGGAGACGGCCGATCGTTCAAGGTTGAACGATCCAGCGCGGTGTCGGGAACCAACGCCGGGGTCGACACGACACGAACCTGCAGTACCGGAGATCTTAGCACGCCTCTGGCCCGTTGGGCCGGCGACTTTCCAGCATGTGGTTTTTGAGTGCGAAGGGTCCACAAGTTTTCGCATTTATACCGCACATCCTGATTATTTGACTTGACTGCTTTGCTGCAACATGATAATGCTACGTTCTACGACTTCCAGGAGGACCCTGAGTTTTTTCTCCATTTTCGAATTCTCGGGGCCCTCCACGGGCCTCGGGACTGTCAGAAAGCGACTCAGGATGAAAAGCTCGTCTTCGTGGCAGGCACCAGGGTCTTGGACCCGTTTCCCTCAGGACCCGCTTGCCCCATGCCAAGTCAGGGTTTCAGAGGAGCAAGAGGTCATGCTTATGATGCGATCTAAGACTTCCAGGACTTCCTGGATTCTCTGATGTTCCACGCGTGCTGCAGAAGCGAGGGCCGCGAGACACCCTGGAAATCCTGGAACGCATCCTGAGCCAACCTTGTCATGCCATTCTTCCCGTCCTAGAGTTGTGCTGGGACGTGTCGGCGCCGTTTTGAAAACCTCTGGGAGCATCATGCGAGGGCGATAGGCATTCAGCCAGCACCACCCTGAGATGTCGGAGCTGTTGCTTATTGATCGGTCGTTTCCTCCTCTCAGATCGCGACGCTGGCGCAGCTTGCAGGGAATCGTTGCGTTGGGAGCACCTGCGTGGCGTACTCTGCCGGGGGTCGTGCCCTCTCGGGAGCGCGAGCCTGGTGTGACCTGCAGACGCATCCCGGCCTCGGGCGCGCGGGCCTCGCGTGACGTACCACAAGGGTGCTGGTCTCGGGCGCGCGAGTCCCGCGCAGCGTGCGAGGGACTCTGCCGCTGGGGGAACCGATCGATGGTAATTCCCCAATCAGAGCTTGCCTCTGTAGGGGTCCCAGCGGGTTAAAGGGTCAGGTGAGGTGCATCGCCGATTTCGGTGGCCGGGCCCGGGTGGCCGGTGAGGTGCGTGGACCAAGCACGATCGATTTCAGTAAAGATCTCATTCAATCTCATTCAATTCAATTTCCGTCCGATTACAAAGGGAGCAATTGGAAGATTAAAAAAAGTTGACTGGGGTTTTTCTCTGGTATCAGATGTATATTTGATTCTGGCCTCGGGAGCGCGAAGCTGGCGTCAGTTGCGATGGAGTTTGGCCTCGGGTGCGCGATGCTGTGTTCATGTGCCTGGGATTCTGGTCTCGGGAGCGCGGACCAATGGTAATCCGCGAGGGATTTTGGCCCGGGGGGCCGCGAGTCTGGCATGCGATGGATTCTCTCCTCGGGAGCGCGAGTCGAGCCTACCTTTCAAAAGATTCTGGCCTCGGGCGCGCGGCGGACCTGGTGCAATTCGCAGAGATTCGGGCCTCGGGGGCGCGAGGAGTCTGGCCCCAGGGACGCGAACGATGCGTATTGTTCTGTCTCCCAGGGCCCGCCCAGGAATTCTGAGAACCAAAGGAGGCCGTAGTAACCAGGGAGGTTTTCGGTTCCCCCGCACTTCGCCAGGATCAGCAGCAGAACGCAGTAGGACGCAGGAAGTAGAACTATAAACAACTGGAGGCCGGAAGCCAGAAACTGCACTGGAACCGTGATTGGGACCGAGGATCTCAGGACCCGTACCTGTTTTACCTGTTGTTGAAGCCTGGCCTTCGCAGCCTGGTGGCCCCACAGGGGGGGCCAGCGGATTCTTTCGGTGCGTCCCTTGCCTCTAGGACTCCTAGATGGGGTCCGAGTAGATGGGGTCAGAGGATCGCGCCGCATCGCCGATGCGTCGACGATGCGGCTCGATGTGGAGCCCGTTTTTACCCACGCCGACGTCGCCGATGCATCGGCGGTGCATTGGCGATGCGGCGGAATCCCCGACCCCATCTACTCGGACCCCATCTAGGAGGCCTCTATTGCCCCCCCCTGGTCCTCACATATGCCTCGGACCACGATGCGCCAATCCCCTCTTGCTGGCCCCCCTGTTCCACGCTCTGGACGCCGTCGTCGGCCCTGGGTGTTTGACGTCTTGGGAACGTCGAGGCGGAGTGCACTTTTCTGCCTCCCGAGTGCCGTGTTCGGGGGCCCGGGGCGGCCAAGAAAATTCTCTGGGGTGAGAAAGTGGCCCCGCGGAAGGGGGTGGGATTCTGAGGACCGCGTGTTGAAACATTCGCAACATCCGAGGTGTGGGATCGGCCGCGTCGGCGTCGCCAAAGGTCGTCGTCGTCCTCGTCCTCGTCGCCTGGCATACCCGACGCCTTGCGGAGAGCCGTGGGGAGAGTTCGACGACGACCCACGGGGGAGACCGCGACGATCACAATGACGACGGGGACGACGTCGACCATGACCTCGGCCGCGACGGCCGCGTCCACGATCACGACAAGAAGGGCCACGACTGCAATGACCACGACGGCGACGTCGCCGTCGTCCTCGTCCCCGTCGGCGTCCTCGTCCGCCCCTCCCCTCGCCCGGGGGGGTCGTTCCCAGCTGGCGCCGCGCCAGACTCCTCGGCGGGGCGCGGCCCTGGCTGCCGACCTCCTGCCGAGGAGCTCTTCCCGGGCGGGCCCGGGACCGGGAGGAACCGGTCCAGAGCGGTCTGGCGCGCTCTCGGAGCGTCCCGGAGCGCTCTGGGACGGCTGCAGCGCCCGACGCGTCCTCCAGAGTCGCCTGCCCTCAGGGATCCCCGATTCGCCCCGGCCCGATGCTGTCCCGGTCCCGGCTTCGTCTTTCTTCTCGGCTCGAGTCGGGCGGGTGGTGCGGGGGTTGACCGGAGTGGGGTGGCGTCTCCTGTGGAGCGAGCAGGGTTTCCAAGGAGGCCCCCACGGCCTCCAGAGCACCCCTTCACGAGGCCCAGGGGGGCCCCGGGGGCTCCGAGCGGGAGGGAACAACTGGGGTCACCCTGAGCCAGGGGCACCTCCAGCAGCCCCCGAGCTTGAGGGCCCCTTCTCTCCCCCCCCCCATTCATCGGAGGGAGGAGCAGCGACACCGACACCAACAGGGGGCCACCTCCAGCGAGGAGGTCCACGAGGCCTCCCCGAGCTGGAGGCTGGGGATGTCTCGAGCGAGAGGGGGGGACCACACCACCAGGGAGACCCCCCTTGCCTCCTCGCATCTCCTCGCCCTGTTGGTGTTGGTGTCGCCTTTCCTTGTCCCTAAATTCACGGTACGCCCCGAGAGCCACCCGCCCGACTTGCGGTGGGGCGCGCCGCGCTGGCCGGCCCGCCGGCGATGCGCACCCCGCCTGTCGCGGGGGCCCCTGCCCGCCGCCCGCCTCTGCGCCCTCTCGCGGGTCGCCCCCGCTGCCCGCGTCGCGAGAGCCCCAGGTCGGGGCGATCGAGGCGGGCACGGGGAGGAAAGGGCAGAGTGGATCAGGAGCGAAAGAAGGACGTAGATGTACATGAATCCTCGCTGGTTTCGAGAGCACGCATTGCACAAATGTTCGTATCACGCGGCCGGTCTCGCGAATCGAGGGGCCGTGTTCATGTACATAGCTGGGCGCGTACGTCCTTTGTGGGCTCCCTAGTGGAGAGACCCATGCCAAGAAACACCCTGCTTGCCTCCGGGGTGTCCTGGGTTTCTGGGGTTTCGATGGTTCCGCCATGGAAAGCGTGCCGCTCCCACGCCAAAAATCAATGGACGCCCGGATTTTTCAGGGTTTTTTGTGGAAGGTTTCTTGTGGATCGGGGCGGTCGAAATGGGTACGGGAAGAATGGGTCTCGGCGTCTAGGCCTATAGGTGGGGTCCGGGTAGATGGGGTCGGGGGATCGCGCCGCATCGCCGATGCATCGGCGATGCGGCTCGATCTGGAGCCCGTGTTTCCACACGCCGACGTCGCCGACGCATCGCCGCCGTCGCTGATGCATCGCCGATGCATCGTCGATGCATCGGCGGTGCATTGGGTATGCGGCGGGATCCTCCGACCCCATCTCTCGGACCCCATCTAGGAGGCCCCTACAACTTGTGATCGGTACGATGCCCAACAGCAGTGCCTGTTCATTTTGAACAGGGCTCGCTGTCTGCGCCGCCACGGACCTTGTAACGCCTGCCCAACAGCGGCCGCGCATTGTCAGTTTTGGACAACATTTGTTGTTGGCCATTGTACCCGTGTTTCCATACCCATATCGGGCGTCCACATCGGAGGAGACGATGAGGGTGGATATGAAGCGGTGGCGAATCGCCCTGGCTTGCCTGAAGGCCACCGAAGAATGTGTTGAGCGCCTTGTGTGGTTTGCACGAAATGTTCTTAGAGCATTTCTGGCACAGACTGTCTCGTCTTAGCACTTCGGGTTTATGGTCAAAGCATCTAGTTGTTGGTCTTAAAATATTTTGGGGTTCTGAGAACATTTCCTTGTAGTCCTATCGGAATGACGAGGCGGTCGGTCTCTGCTCAACATAGCCCAGGGGCGGGCGTTGCATTGTTCGAATCCTCAGTTTCCCAATGCCGGCGCCCGAAACCAGGGTGTTCTTGTCGAGCTCTGAAAAAGTGCAGCGCACACCCCTGGCCTGTCCACCCTGACCGTCTTCTCCGACTTGCTGAGGGAGGCATCGGCAGTACATCGTGAGAACACTTGTGTGTGCCATCATCAGTCCGACTTCAGGGTGCCCTGGCGTGCGCCAGCGCCTGGCAGTCCAGGAGAACGTGCCGGTTCGGCGTAGAGTGGCGCCGACTTGCTCTCATCGATGAGCGCCGATGTCGTGCCGACTCACGCCGGTCAGCGTCGATCGGCGTCGATCAGCATTGATTTGCGTCGAGTTGCTTCGATTAGCGTCGTTTCGCGTCGATTCGCGCCGATTCGCATGGATCCGCGAAAGGCAGCAGGACGGCGTGGGATGCTCCCGTGGGCTGCCGCGGAGGGGGATCGGGGGGCGGCCGCCGCCGCCCTCGTCCGCCGCCGCAAGAGGCCTCCGCCGGCGCCGCCCAGGCGCCGCCGCCGCCGTCGCCCCTCGAGGTCGTCGGCGTCGCCGCCCTCCGCGTCGTCGTCGTCGTCGTCGTCGTCGTCGTCGGCGTCGGCGTCGGCGTCGGCGTCGGCGTCGGCGTCGGCGTCGGCGTCGTCGTCGGCGGCGTCGGCGTCGGCGGCGTCGGCGTCGGCGGCGTCGTCGTCGTCGCCGTCGTTGTCGTCGTCGTCGTCGTCGTCGTCGTCGTCGTCGTCGCCGCGCTCGGCGGGCCCGCGCCCCTGCTGCAGGACGCCGACTGCGGCGACGCGTCGCACGGCCACGGCCGCCGCCCTCGGCAGCCCCGCGGCGCGCGCGCGCGGCGGCGGCCGACTCGCGCCCGAGGGGCGTCCGCGGCTTCGGAGGAGGGGGAGGAGGAGGAGGAAGAGCAGGAGGATGTGGAGGAGGAGGAGGAGGAGGAAGAGGAAGAGCGGGAGGATGTGGAGGAGGAGGGCGAGCTGAAGCAACGGCAGTTGGCCTGCGGGGGCCCCCCTCGTCGCCATGGTCGGGCGCAACTCGGAGAACTGGTGCGTTCGAACCCTGGGAGGGGTCCAGGGACCGATGTTGAGCTGCGGTTGTCTCAACTCGCCCTGCACCGAGTTCAGGGGCAACCTTAGGGGGGGATGGGCTCAGAGGTAATGCATCGGCTCCCAATGGCCCATGGATCGCCGATTGGGGCCTCATGGCCCACCACGTCCAGGACCGTACGGCCCAGAGGTGGATTCCCACCCAGGAGGCGCTAACCATTTTCTGGACAGGTCCTGTGCTTCACGGAGACCGTGGCATGTATGACGTTTCGACTTGATATCGCCGCGGGGGCCCCATTCGGGACCATCAACAATAACCTGGGATGGAAAGCTGGCTAGGACTGACCCGCGGTGGCTGATCTTCAGCGGGAGCCAGCCAGGCGCGGGGCGACGATGGCGACGGCGGCGACGACGACGAACGTCTTCTTTCCGCGGCGCGTCTGTTCGCACACCCTTGTAGGGTGTTTCGGCCGGGGTGCGGCTCGGACAGAGACTGCGCCTGGGGAGGGGGGGGCCCCATGGACCATTGGTGGGAAGCAGGACAGAAAAAAGCAGGCAGGGAGGGAGAAGGCTCGGAGGAGGTCCAGTCGGGACAACGGCTACTCTCCCGCCCGACCGGCTCAGAATCGGTCCCAGGGGCCCTTGCCGGGGCCCATTCTGGCGAGTTTGTCGAGGCGGATCCAGCCGTGGCGACGAGAAGCTTCCAGGCGGCCCAGCACGAGTGAAGAGCGCGAGGGAGGGCCGCCGTTGTCTCCACTGGCCCCCCGCGCGAGGCAGGGAGGAACAAAAATCTGGAGCGCCTGTTTTTTGAGAGTTGTGGCGCAATTCGCTACAACGGTACCCCCGTTAGCTCTTCCGCCAGCGCAGTTACTCTGCTCCTCCTCCTGCTCTCTCCTCCTCCTCTGGAGCCTGGCGGGCCCATGCGGTCCAAGAAGGAGCACCCCGCCAGAGCCTGATACGATACTGGACGCAACGCCTTTGAACACACATTGTTTGCAGAGTGATTACGTATTGTTCACCCCCACAAAAGAGAAGGGGTCTAGTACTGCTGCCTCCGAGTGGCACATTGCTTGTGATACCATACGAATTGGCATCAATGACACGGATTGTACACTGAAGACGGCGAGACAACATGAAGCAAACATGAAGTTGCAAGGTTCGATATACAACAAGCTGGTACACGAGGAAAACAATACTATACGCAGTATGGAGAGACTTTGCATGGCAAGTGAATGAGGCACGCCGGACATATGGATAAACAAACATTCGGGTTTGCAGGCAGCTCGTAGCGACATCGACAACGCGATTGAGCAACTGGTAGTGGCTACCAGGGTGATCACCACACGCAGGGGCAAGCACGGCAACGTGTCGGCACCAAACAATGCAGACGATGCGAAATTGTTCCGCGACCCAGGCCCGACAGACAACCGCACGAATAACAAAAAAAACAGGGCGAGCGCAGCAGACCACGAACAATTAATACATAAAGGAAGCAGCAGCACTATTTCGAAACACGGCGCGCGTTTGGCGCGTCGAGAAATCGTGACCAAAATAAAAGCGCTGACTGGCTCTGCTCTAGTGCCCCTGGCTACTGCTGCTGTCGCCGTCCCGTGGCTGTCCCCGCGCTCCTCCTCTCCCCCCCTTGGTCGGGGGTCCTCGGCTCTTGCTGGCTTGGCGGTTTCCACGGTTTTCCCCTCTCCCTTCCCTCTCCTGCTCTCCGCGTGCCTTTACCCCCTTTGGGGTGGTGGAGTGCTTTAAAACGGATTGAGGAGCGGAGGCGGGGGAGAGAGGGGGAGGGAGGGGGAGAGAGGACCCTCAGCAAGCCCCGCTCGCCCACGACGGACGCGGGCAGCGGGAGGCCCGCTTTTCAGTCCTACCACCTCGAATGCGGGGTCTCCCGCTAGCGGGGCATGGAGACCACGCCCCAGGGAAGGCGGGCTCCGACGCCCCAGGAAGATCCCAGACCAAGCGAGTTCTGGGGCTTGCATCCGCATGTTTCCGAAGGGGCCCCGCTTGAGTTTCAAAACCCCCGAGGGGCATTCGAGGCCACGGACCCCCTACTGGCCTTTACCTTTACCTTTACCTTTACCTGCAAGTCGTGCAAGGTCGCCAAGGGCGCAGCTTACTTCGGCCCGCGCCCAGCAGGTGGCAATGGGGCGAACGCTGCGCAGGCACCACGGCCTCTCGCGGCCGAGCGCCGTGCTGCTGCCGAGGGGGAGCGTCTCAAGAAGGAGGCCGCCGCCAAGGGCCGCGAGATCCAAGAGCTCAAGAAGCAGCTCGTGGCGTCGCGGCAGTCGGGCGGCGGGGCCTCAGCGATGCAGGTCGACAGCCCTGGCGCCGACAAGCCTGCGGGCCCCGAGGCGGGCAAGGCGGTGCTCGAGCGTCTCACCGCCGCCATCGCCGCCATTGGGGGCGCCCCCGACGAGCTCTTGGCTTCGCACGAGGCCGCGATGGTGGCAGAGCAGGAGCGGCTCAGGGCTAAGATCTTGGCCGATAAGCCGATCGGAGCCCGTCTTCACCTCCCCACCAATCGCTGCACGGCGCTCGAGAAGAAGAAGGGGCGCCAGCTGGCCGCCCTGGACAAGCTGCATGCGCAGATCCAGGAGATCCAGCTGGCCGTCGCCGATGCAGAGAAGGCGCTGCTGGAGACGTCCAAGGAGCTCGTGGCCGCTGAGGCGGGCAGGCGCAGCGCCGCGGCGCTGGCGCCGCGCCCTGAGGCGGGCGTCTTCTCTCTCAAGGCGACGATCCCCGCCCTGGACCTGTCAGTCTCCGACGTGGGCAAGATGCTGGAGGCGGTCGGTGCGGACGCGTCTCTGGCCGAGTCTATCCAGGCTAACTTTGCGAAGTTGCGCGAGCTTGATGCTGCCGCAGCGGAGCGAGGACGCGCGCAGGAGAGAGCTGCCGCGGCTGAGCCGCCCACCAGCGCCGCGGCCAGCAGCGCTGGCAGCGCGCGTGCAGGAGCTGCCGACCTTGCCGAGCATCTTCCTGTCCCTGCTGACGACGGCGACCTGGGCGAGTTGCAAGCCGGCTACCGCGTGGTCTTCGACGCCGAGCCCCCGGGCAGCGAGGGGGAGCTACGAGGGCGCATCAATCTGTTTGGCGAGCAGCTCAGCAGGGTGTCGAAGAGGCCCCGCGTTGACACGAAGTAAGCTGTGGGTGGGCGCCGCGCTCCTGCTGCAGCTCTTCTGCCCCGCTGAGGCGATGCCGAGGTGTCATGGTGGGCGTGTGCTACCGGTCTACATGCCCCCGCAGGCGGCCGCCACCGCCGCGGGAGAAAGGGCGGGCCCTGGGGCAGGGGACGCGGCCCTTGCTGCCCCATGTCCTGCGTCCTCGGCGTCTTCGAGGCCTGGCGGCGCGGCGATGGCTGGGGCTTCCTGCGGGGCCGCGCTCGCCCGTGACGCTGAGGGCACCAGCAGCCTGGGGCGCCTCAAGCGAGCGGGCAGAGAGGTCAGGAAGGCTCCAGCACATCATCGTGACGGCCGTGGAGGGGTTGGTCTGCTCCAGCGGGCGGCCGCCTCTGCCGCTGGAGATGGGGCGGACCCTGGGGCAGGGGACGCGGCCCCACCATGGGCAGTGGCAGCAGGAGATGGGCGCGCGCCCAAGTTCTACCTGCCAGACTACATGTCCCCGAGGTCGGGCGCCGTGGTGCTCGAGTCGGTGGCAGCTCCCCCGCCCGGAGCCTCGGCTGCATGCAGCCAGCGAGGGCTATCACACAGTGTCAGGACGCAGTGATGTTTCAGTCGGTTCGGGCAAGCCTGGTCCGATCCGCGGTGTGATTACAGCTAACACATCACCCCACGGTCCGCTGTTAGATATGCTGAGCGCCCATGGATTTTATAATTACCTGATTCTTGTGCAAGAGCACCACGCGAGAGTCGACCGTTTTGCTGAGGTGCAGTCCAAGGCGGTAGCCAAAGGGTTTCGCGGTGCGTGGGCAGAGGCGATTGACACAGGCAGAGGAGGTTCATGCGGCGGCGTAGCCGTGATCGCGCCTGTCCACGTTCCCGTCTCAGCCCCGCCCCAGCTCACCGACCGCGCGTTGATCCCGGGGCGTCTGGTGGCTGCACATGCTCACTGTGGCCGTGCAGGCGGCATCGTCCTGCTCTCCGTGTACCAAGTGGTCGGAGAGGGTCTCGGGGCCCAGAACCTGGAGATTGTGCAGACGGCCATCGACTATGCCAGCCAGCTGTCGCGCCAGGGTATAGCGTGGGTCATAGGCGGGGACTGTAACATGGAGGGCGAAGTGTTGGACGACTGGTTCCACGCTGCAGGAGCCATCCGTGTGGCGCCGCAGGTGCCGACGTGTGTGCGGTCGCTCCCTGGCACGGTGCGCGACTTCTTCTTCGTATCGCTGTCCCTGGCCAATGCAGTGGGCGAGCTGGCCGTCGAGGAAGGGACCGATCTCTTCCCGCGCAAACCTGTTCTCCTTGAGCTAGGCCTGGTGGAGAGAAGTATGCGTCGCCGCGTTCCTGATGAGCCACAGAAGTTTCACGTCGAGCCGAAGATTGGGTGTGCGAGGTTCCCTCCCGTCGACGAGTGGGCCCAGATCCAGAGTTGCATAAGCCACGCTGTTTTTGCAGAAGATTTGGCTTCTTGCTGGGATGCAGTTATCTCAGGCATTGAGGCCGAGCTCTGTGATCGCAACGACATCGTGAAGGCCTCGGAGCGACGGAAGTTTTGTGGGCGTGCTGGCCCACCTTCGTATTCGTGGAAGCCGCTGCCGAGACAAGCGAACCCTCAGCCGAAGGCGGAGCTTGC